AAAAAAAAAAATCAAGTGGTGAGAGATGCTATGGAGAAAATAAAGTCAGGAGGGAGGAGGGTGGGAACAGTAAGTTGAGATTTGTTGTTCAGAGGTAGCCTTGCTGAGAAGTTGCTATTTGAATAATGATCAGGAGGTGAATTAGTACTGAAATAATGGGGAAAGATCGTTCCAAGTAATGGGAACAGCAAGTGCGAAGGCCCAGAGGTAAGAGCAGGTCTCAGGAGGGAGGGGTGCTGAAGTAAGAGGATCGCTTGAGTCCAGGAGTTTGAAGCAACAGTGAGCTATGACTGCACCTCCGCACTCCAGCCTGGGTGACAGAGTGAGGCCCTGCCCCGAAATGGAAAAAATGAAAGAAATACATATAACCATACCCAGCCAGTTTTTCTCCTCCATGAAAAGGAAGCAGTGATCCCCAGCCCCCTTCATGCCACCCCCCAACTTGGCCTCAGGGGCTCTGTTGTTTCAGCTCCTCTTCTCTGGTAGCAGCAGTTTCTCCTCAGTGGCCCAAAAAGAGGAGAGCAAGCGTGTTGATCTACCCTGTGTCCATCCACCTGTTGTGTCCCTTTGTCTGCAAGGGTGACCGAATGAAGCGCTGCCTGCCACTTAATTGTGCCTCTTGCCCAACCGTTTGCCGCATTGGAGGGCTGGCTACAACATGTGAGAGTGGATCAATTGATAAGCCGAGAGATGAGTCATCTGACCTGTGCAAAACCAGATAAGCTTCTGCAGTCTGCACAGAAATCTAAAATCTCGGCCAGAATTTCTGTGGCAAAGGGAGAGTCAGAAAACGGAGCTGTGAGAGGTGCCACATTTCCCTGACCATGAGGGGTCTTCTTCCCCAATACGTCCCTTCCCCCAGCAGCAGCCTTGACCTCAGAGGGCCTGGCTGTGTCCTCAGCAAGCTCTGCAGCCACAGACATGCTGCAGTCACATGCAGCAGCCACACTGCAGTGCGCGGCACCTCTGCCTGCCATGCTCCACTCTGTTGGAACTGAATCACTGCTTGGGGGTTGGGAACCTGTGTTGCTCCTTACAATACCCGGTGCTGCCTCTTTCCTGCAGGCAGAGCTCAGGGCTGTGCTCAGCGCCCTCTGCACAAGCTGGCAAGGTGAGAGGGGAATGCAGACCCCACCTTCGACCCTGGAAGGCTGAAACTTATCATTCGAGGGGTCATCACCTGTTGTCCTCCCCAGTTCTTCATAGGGAGTCAGGAGCCCCACGCTGCCAGGCCTCAGTTTTTGTGCCCCTCCCCCAGAGTGCCCTCTGCGGTTCTTTGTAACACAGTGTTGCAGGATCAGTGTTTGCATTTCCTTTAGTTTGGAAAGTCATTTTCCATCCATAAGCTTGTCTGATTCTCACAACAGTCTTGAAGAACAGGGAGGCAGGCTCTTGGCATCCTCCCTTGGTGGGATTTGGCTCCAAGTCTGCTGGGTCGCAGCCAGGAGCCTGTTTACTACATCGGAAGACCCTCCATGAAATGTTTTGAACATCTGTTGAATACAATGGAGCTTCTCCCGCTCAAAGTGAGTACAGAAGTAAAAGCCTTTCAAGCAGAGTAGAGTTTGAGATGCAAACTCAGGTACTCACATATACACATGAACCCCAACACGTGGGTCCCACCAAGAAGGCGTTTGCGCTCCGCTGACACATGGGCTGCCTACCACCTCCCCCGTGCTGGCCCTTTGCCCTCAAGTCTGAGGGGCGGTACAGCCCACAGGTACAATGCCCGGCTGCTGTGCATATTTGTGTACATTTTCAGATGATATGTGATGTGAATTAGAACAAGTTTAATGTATATGTAGTTTGGCACTTTTTTTTTTTTTTTTGGAGACAGTCTCTCTGCCACCCAGGCTGGAGTGCAGTGGCACAATCACAGCTCACTGAACTCTCTACTTCCCA